GGGGGGGAGGGGAGGAAGGAAGGAAGGTTATTCATTCTTCCTCCACATAGAACAAGAACAAGGATCGATATATGTGAGATTCTGCAGAGAACAGAGGTAAAGGAGAAATATTATAATCTCAAAATAACTTTTAAAAACTCATTTAACCACTTTGTCATTTGTACTTCATTTCCCCCATGTGTGGGCCACAATACAAACTTACTTGTCATCCTCTGTACTTTTTTGTGTGTACACTACCACACACTGCATTTTTATGTTGTTACAAAAGTTATCAAATCAGGTCCTCATGCCCTGTAGACAAGCACTTTCCCTACTGAGCTATCTTCTTACCATAATTATTTCTTCAGAAGCACCTATTTAGGTCCCCTATCCACTTCTTCAATGAGCTGCCCCAGTTACACATTTTATGTATTAACTATTCAGCATGCGAATGCTTTCATTCATCCCATAGAGGAGTTATCTGTTAAATTATATCTTTGTGTTGAAAGCTATTGTTTTATATAATCCCACTGGTCTATTTTCTATAGTCATGTTTTTAAAACAAAATTCACAAACATTAATAATAAAAAGCTTTTCTTGTTTTCACTTATTAGTTGACAGTTAATAAAGGATATTAACTAAGGACACAATTTTGTCCTTCTATTTAACATACTGTTTTTTTCTTCCCTAAGAGTGTTCAGTGCTCTGAACAGCTGAGCCATCTTGCAGCCTCAAGAATCCTTGAGTCAGAGATTAAGGCAATATGGTCCCTGTAGTTAGATAGACTTGGGTTTTGATTTTAGTTGATGTTGTTTCTTTTGGGGATTTCAAGACAGTGTTTCTCTGTATAGCTCTAGCTATACTGGAACTGCCTCTTGACTGTCTCTGCCTCCCAAGGACCCAGATTAAAGGCATGCAACTCAACCATACTGGGCTAAGATAAATTCCACTCAATTATAATGAATAATAATGTATTGTTTAATTCAGTTTGTTATTACTTTCTGAAGAACTTTTTTTATAACTTTTTTATTGGATATTTTCTTTATTTACATTTCAGATGCCATCCCCTTTCCCCATCCCTCCCCCAGATATCCCTTTATCCTATCCGCTCCTCCTCCTTGCTTTTTTTTTCTTTATTAGCATTTTAAGTTAACATACAAAGTACTGGGTTTTATTACAGCATCCTCATACATGTGTCATTAGAGTTCTGATTTGTTTCCCTCTGTCCCTTCCCTTTCTTCCTCCAGCTAGTTTCCTCATCTGAATTCCTGTCACATGTATTCCATCACCCTCCCTCCTCATCCTTTTTTTTTTAAATGTTAATCAAAGGCTTTATAAGTTTGGTAATGCTCAACAACAAGATGCCCATACAATCAGAAGTGTAACCCAATACCCAAACTAGATACACCAACTATTTTTGACTGGCAGGGGCACGAGAACATCCGTCTCCATGTCCTGTTCCCCCGCCCCCTATCTTCTAGCTCCTCCTCTCCGTCTCCTCCTCCTCTCCTTACTCCTCCTACATATCACTCTTCCTGTTAAAACTTTTCTGAAGAACTTTTATTACTAGCCTGTAGTACTAAACTTTTTTGTGTTCATATAAGAGTGATGAAGTATGGAAACTTTCAATTTTTTTTGGCTGACCTTGGAAAATATCAGTATTAGTTCTTCAAAGTTTAGCGAATTTCAGCAGTGATGTCATTAGGTTCTGGGCTTTATGTGACAAGAAGCTTAATTCCTGACTTTCCATCTTCTGATGGCACAACATTCTCAATCATGCCCATCAATAATAGCATGTAAATTTAAAATGCTCTAATGCTAATAGTGTTCTATACAAACCACTATCAATGGTTTTTCCTATCTATTCTGCTAATAGTCAATCTAAAATATTATCTATTAGAGATTACTGATGCAGTCTAACTGCAAGCACCATGAGATTTCTAAACTCAGTGGGCCATTCAGTGCATGAAACTTTCAACATCTGGTCTGTTTCTTTAAAAATTCCAACCCCTTCATATCTTTGTAGGTTTTCAGAATACTCAATCTCAACTCAATTTTTATAAATGTAACATTCCACAAAATATCATTAAACCTTTTTCATTAAGAAAGAAAAAAAAAAGTACATGAGGAGCCAGGCAGTGGTGGCACACACTTTAATCTCAACAGTGAGGAGGCAGAGGCAGGTGGATCTCTGAGTTTTGAGACCAACCTGGTCTACAGAGCCAGTTTCAGAGCAGCCAGGGCTAAACAGAAAAACTCTTATCTCGAGAGGAGGGAAAAAAAGGTACATGGGGAAGGCGGTTCTTCAGTTTCTGCTACACCTGCAGCTATCTAGGTATATAAAATAAACTTCTTTTAAACAACAAAATCAACCAAAAATTTACTTAGCTACTAAGTAACTTCTTAAATAAGTCTTCTTCATAAAATACCACCTCGCATCCATTAGGATGACTACTACTCCCCAAAGAAATTTTAATACACTGGTCAAGTTATAAAAAAAATTTTAATGCTTTTATTGTAAGGAATGTAAGCAAAACTGGCACAGCTATTGTTTATTTAAAATAGCATGATACATTCTCAAAATATTAAAAACACAATTATCATGATATGCTATAGGCCCAAAAGAATTTTGGACAAGCTCTCAAGAGAACAGACCCATGCTAATCACATTATTCACAATTGCTAAAGCACAGAAATAATTTATTAACAAATAAACAGCATATACAAGCAAGTGAGTGTTAGGGCATTGTTATATAAAGTAAACCAATCAAAACAACAACAACAAAAAAGCTGTGTGACTTCACTTACTTCAGGTAGTTAGAAGCACCAAACCCACAGACAAAAAGAATTATAATTGACAGCCACAGTGGAAAAAACAAGTTACTATTTAATGCATACAAGTTTCAGTAGTGCAAAATGCAAACAGTTCTGATGACAAATGCTCAAAAATATTAATATTTACAATACCACTGGTTTATAGACTTTAAAACAGTAAAGAGTAAATTGTATACATTTTATGTGTTTAAAGTTATTAGAGAAGCTACATGGTCTCACAAATTTAAATGATATTGTATAGCTATTTCTTAGAATTCATAATGTACATACGCATTTAAAGGGATGTATTCTGCTTTTAGTAAGGAAAACCTTGACTTTTCAACACACCTTAAACATGGCTTGTTAGTATTCTGTCCAAACTCCACGTCCACGTGGCTGCTTGCCACCTCCTTGCTCTCTTGTTCCTCTCTTGTTCCCTTGGCCCCACGCCTGCAGGCTTCCCTCTCCCCTCCCCCCTTCCCTTCCCTCTCTCTCCATGTGGTCATGGCCAGCTCTACTCCTCTACTTTTCTGCTCTCCCTCTCTCCTCTCTCTCTCTCTCTCCTCTTCCCTACCTCCTAAATAAACTCTCCCTCGTGGAACCATCTGGTCTGGCATTATCTGTCCAAGCTCCACGCGAAAAATCCTTTCATAGCTCAACATATCTATCTTTACTTCCTCCTAATTTCTTAAGACAGGAGAGTGTGTGTACATGTGTTTGTACATTAGCATAAATGGTGTAGGTAGATTTATAGATGTAGAAAGAA